ATTAATTTTTTTATTAATTTTTTAATATTAAAAAATTATATTAAATCTGAGTAATTTAAAGTTAAATCATATCAGATCTTATAAATAGAAGTCTCGTATTCACAATCTGATTTAAGAGAAAATGAGTTTTTTTAATTTAAATCAACATATTATTAATGTATTAATATTATTTTATTTAATTAACATTTTATATATTCAAGTGAAAATTTTTTAAATTAAAAATTTCTCTCTTCTAAAAAAGGGGAGCCGTTGGATTTTTGTACGACATTTTTATATGCCATCAGTAGATGTCAGGTGCTGCAAAATTTTGTGTACAGTGCCATTTTTGCCCTTATAATTTGTTTAAATAAAAATAAGCAGTGCTAGGGCACTCGCCTCCTGCGTTTTCCGGCCAACGGTTCCATTTTTATTGGGCCACGTTATTTAGATCCGAGAGGTCGCGTTTCAAAAACTCTGGAGCAAGCTTACATGGCCCAATGAGAGTGGAAGTGTTGGCCGGAGAGTGCAGGAGGCGAGTGCCTCAAGCACTGCTCAATAAAAATTAATAAAGAGAAGGGAAGAAAGGAAACGGAGAGAAAGGAAAGAAAAGGATTAATGTTAATTTTATTTAGATAAATAAAAATTAAAGAGAAAAAAATAATATTTTTATTTAATTAAATAATTTTTTAAAATAAAATAACATAAAACATTTAAAATTTACTAATTAAAAAAATAATTAAAATAATAAAAAAATCCAAACAAGAAAATAAAGATGTCATCTCCCCACTCTCCTCCCTTTTCCTTTAAATCCCTCAATACAAGTAGACTGTTATAAAATAAGAATGCAACTCTCTGTTTGTAAATGGTCCAATGTGAGAAATGTTCTATCTCCATTCTTAATTTTAAAGAAAACAATAAGAGAGAACTCCCATTACACTTTTTCTTATACATCAAACGACAGGGTGTCAACTATGCACACCCACCAGCCAGGTGCTAATGCTTTCTCTCCTCGTTCAGCCTGCTAGTGTTGATACCAAATATGTTCATGTGGTTGAGACTTACAGCGAACCAGATATTGTTGGCATATCTCTGCTTGAAGATATCATTGCAGCTTCATTGAACTTCACAAGTTATTGAAAACTTTACCAATTTCATTTCCTTCCAATTTTAAGTTTCCAATGTACAATCAAAATATAAATCACAATAAAGTAAAAGAGTATGGAAGAGGAAGATCAAAGGCAACAATTTAGCCATTGTGAAATTGTGTATATTTTTTAGTGCAATGAAATGCTTTGCCATCTCTCTGAAAATGTGATAATTTATAATAGTTCAACATTGATATAAATAAATTTCTTAATTATTTGAATACGTTAAAAATAGGTTAAATTAAACACAAATGTAATATGACAACAAAACTCATTAAGAATAGTTCAAATGGTTTAGAAATGATATAATGCATGTTTAAATCCTTCTAACACCATTTACCTATAAACAGTTATAATAGACTATATTCTCTATCTTTGAGATTGAAATCTTATTTAGTATTTATGATTAAAACAATTTACAAATATTGTAATATTAGTCAAGTCAAAAGTTAAATATTAATAATATCCAAAAGAAAAAAGAGTTAAATCTAAAACAAAATAATCACCATATGAAACACAATTTTTACATGAAAAACCCATTGAAATGGGTAAAAACCATAGGAACTTTAGTCCATTAAAATAATCTCCACCAGAATTAAAGACACCACAAAATGCTTGTCCAAAGAGCACAATCACAGCGCCAAACACAGAGAAATAAGCAGCAACAAAGCGACAAAGAAATGAAACTACAAAAAGAGAAAAATACCCAAAAATGCACGGCTATGCTATGCTAGGCACCAAATGCTACAGATGTTCAACAGAAAACCTGTCCGTTTAGAAAGAGTCTAGGAATCCTCAAACCAAATTAAGACGGTCCAACTAACGAGAAAGGACAGCATAAAGATCTAAAATTTTGCATCCTTTAAAGTTCTGCAGCACCTTTCTCCTTTTTCTCTTGGTTTCTCCCGTTGTTTTTGTCTTCTTCTGATTTAGTTTTCTTTGCACAAATTAGAC